ATATGAAAGCAAATACATATGTATATACCAATGAAGCTCTGGCCCCCGCAGTTCGGCCATTCATAGGTGCCAAACTTGCCAAGTCCATCATAGTTTTGAAAGCCCCAGTATCGGCTCTTTGATGGCGCTCCGGCCATCTCTCGCTTGAATGTCTCAGGACCAGTAATGAGCTCAGGAAAACGCACTGCCTGCAGATACCCTGCCAAGTCTGGGCATTGCGACCTCGGCTGACCATTGTACTGCTTGTAATATCGGTTGTACACCCATTTGCAGTACTTGAAATCTTCACCATCCCTCTTGTTGATTGCCCGCAACACCAACTGATGATAAGTGAGATGCGACCCTTTGAACTTGTCCGTCTTGAGGATGGTTTGTCCCCATGCTTCATAACTGTCCACCTTCACAGGCAAGCTCACACTCCTGTCCACCTTGCCATACTCAATATCATAAGCGGGGATGACCTCAATCTCACTGTCAGTTTGGTTGTCTTCAATGGGGATGTCATGAGCCAAAGCCTCAACTCCCCTTTTGCTGGCATCAGTCATGGCACCAGGCGTCTCCTCTGACTCCAACCAAGCATAGCCTCCCTCTGAAAAGGCCTTGTACCGCTTGCCATTTTCCAGTCCACCCATTCTGCCTTCATTCCCGGCAGCACTCTGACTTCCCTTTGCACTGGATTGCCCACTCTTGGGTGGTGGTGCCTCAGGAACTTTCTGCACCACTGACACAGGCATACTCCCTTTCAGATAGCCACCAAGAGCCGCCGACAAAGATCCAAGCTTGCCGTCAGAACCTGCTTTCTTCAACAGTAAATCCAGCATCACTTGTTCCTCGGCACTGAGAGAACCGGATTGATCCGGTTGCGCAGCCATGGCACAGTCGCCGGGCCGGGACGCGGTGCTCTGTTACACAACACACACACACCCAACCGACTGTCCAAAGCCGCAGGCAAAGTGTCGTCCGTCGCAACTGCAAACAAAAGAAAGTGAAAGCAAGGAAAAGTTCTTACACGCATTGATGCCTCTCGCACTGCGCCTGTGTTGTATGTCGCTCGCTCACACGTGCACTTATAGCTTAGACAAGAAACGTCTGCCACATTCAAACCGTCCTAAACAATTCACGAAAAACACAGCATTCAAGCAAAGAAAACACAGCGTTCAAGAATCTACTTACCTTCCACTGAACTGCACATTCTTACGCTTCAACTCTTCTGACCGTTTGAACGTTTCAATGACTTGAACAAATTGCACATGTGGATCACGTCAAAGCCTTTGCAGCACAGTACAAAACCTTAAGCTTATCCTACTTAACTGCAAACACAGCTCCAACCACAAGTGAAGTTCCCCCTTTTAAAGCGGGAAACAAAATGCAAATTTAATTAAGTTTTCACATCCTCTGCTTATGGACACCGTCGCGCCGATCGGACGCCTGCTAAGATCCCTTTTGCAAGTTCCTTCGTATAATAGCCTGTTTGTGTCCAATCCGTTTCAGAAAAACCTCCATGTTGCCTGCACTGACACAACCCAAACTTCCGCGTCAACGTGTTGCAGAAACCTGCCGAGGGGCTGCAGAACATCAAGCATTTCCCAACGGGATACCCATTCGACGTTTGCAAGCCTGTCTGGCAAAGGAACACTTCTGCAGTATGAGTCATGCCGCATTCTTGAAGCAATTCTTTGGTCTCAGCTCTTTTCCATATGTTGTTGTATCGTGGAAGTTCAAAGGACTTTGAGTCCCCCAGTTGCAAATATCCTTTTGCTGCCTTCATGAGGGTCGGCCAAATCGCATCTGTTTCAGTGTATGTTGCTGTGAAATTCTTCAGCGGGGAACCGGAACTACATGGTGTTGAGACATGAACATGTACCCAGCGATATCCAGTTTCACGCTGCGCTCTAACAAACATACTCACTTGTTGGAACATGTCGCTGTCCTCCATACGCTTGACCACACCTAGATATGGTATACGTGCCACACGACATGCTCGCTTCAGCGCTGAATCCACATCACAACACACTTCAACAAACGCAATGTCCTGTCCAGTCACACGCACTCCACTTACTGACAGACAATCGCGAACGCTCTGAAGGTCTTTCATGGGCACCTCATCTATCTCAAACCCAAGGGTAGTGCGGTGTTTCACATAGTCCTTGGTCGGTAGACATTTGGTAAAGAGATCGGCAACGTTCTCAACTCCTGGACGATGCTCTATGGACAGTTCGCCACCATGCACCTTGGCCTTGAGCCACTCCACTCGGATCTCTACGTGTCTGCTCCGTTTTGGCATGTCTTGACCCGAAAGCAGTTGCAATGCTGAAGCCGAATCCGACTCCAAAAGCAATTTCGGGACTTCTCTCACGTCCAGCTCTTGCAATCCTACATACACACGCTGACAGAACTTGCTGAACGCCACTGCCTCTTGAGCTATCGTCTGTATTGCGTACAACTCTGCCTCACAGCTTGAAAGAGAGACCGCCTGCTGTTGCCTTGCAACAGTGCGTACCAGACCACCTTCACAAAACACAACACCGCCAGTAATGCCGCGCCTTTGGTTGAAGCGATACGGAGCAAATGAAGCATCGCTGAATGAATGAAGGATGGTATGTCGTGCACTAGACGTCATGAGATCTTCATAGTGTGGTGTAGGCAAGCGCAGACACGTCCCAACATCGTTGAACAAGAAACGCAGAAGTGCACGCAGTGCAGCCTCTGTGCCGTTGTTCGGTGTTGCCTGTTGACTACCTATCAAACTCAAGAACAGCTTCACATCATGCCGCACCTGTGCCATCCAAAGCAACTTGCCAAGCGCCTTGCGAAATCGAGCATAACCTTCCGCACTCAACGGTGTCTGCAAGTGCTTGTCATTCAAAGCTTTATCCAAGATACCTGCTACATCCGGCACTGTGACTGAACCTTTCTGTACATTGAACTCCGCAAAGGTAGTGTCCAAGTAGTGTGGGTTCACTCCCAAAGTCAACGAATCATCTTCAACTCCTCTAGAGATGATGCGTCCAATGAAAGTCACCGATCCACCACCTTCAGCCGCAGGAAGTATCAAGCCTGTCTCTTTCAGCGGAACCTTGGCGCCGATCGCCTTCATGACCTTTCGCTCAACCTGTTCAGACTGGCTACACAAGAGCAGATCGTCGACGTATGCAACCAACAACGCTGCCTGTCCATCAATGACCCCTTGATAGATGCATGGTTCCACAATGTCCGACGTCAATCCGACCCTTTTAATGCTGTCAGCCAACAAGTTGAGCCAATGCAATGAAGCATCCCTGAGGCCATTCAACGCTCTGTTCAAGATCATATACGCTTGCGTTCCATCGGTCAAAGAGACTGACTGCGGCATCTTCAGGATGATGATCAATCCTTCCGGCAACGGGCTATGCATGAACGCATGACTCACGTCAAGAGCCTTCAAACGCATCGATCTGTGCGCCGCTAAGGTCAACACCATGTGAAGGCCTTCAATCGAAGGAGTGGGAGACGAGATACCTAACTCTCTTGCACTCTTACCTCCTTGCGCCTTGCCTTTACTCAGATCCTTAGCAACGATGCGAACACGAACACGCGTCTCAGACTTGTATGCGGAAACCCAACGACTGGGGATGATTCGCGCCTGTGGATTCTTCCGCACGAGCTGGTCAATCTCTCTCTGGCCCACAACGTGTCCGGTCTGACAATGCTCCATGTTTGTGAGTTCTTCGCGCATGCCCTCAAAGCCTTGCTCAGGATTCAACTGCATCAATGTCGTGTCATCTATCACCTCGTCCGGTCGCCACAGCAAGACTTCAGTGCCCCCAAGCTTCACCTTCACACATGAGTGTGTCTTCCCCGCTGTAAAGCGGATAGAGTTGAGCTCAGGGTCAAACAATTCCGCACTCGTAGCTACGCTCTTCTGTGGACCTGCTTCCAAACTCCATGATACAGCCTGCAACATGCAACTAGCGTCATCTTGGAGGAACAAACCCAACACACTTGGCTCATGCTGTCTTCTCTCCTCTTCCATACTCTTCTCAAGTTCTTCAACATCTATGTCAGCTTCTCTCTTCTGGGAAAGGCGCACCCTCGACGACTCAACACCTGCTGCCTGACCTGTTTCTGTCACCTCAATACCTCCATCCTCGCCGACCGGAGCCGGGACTTCAACCTCACCAACTCCTGTACCTTCAAAACGCACCTTCTTAGCGGGAACTCCATTGGGATCTTCTCTCCCCCTTTCAAACGCTTCTCTCCGCTTCTTGCACCAGGCATTGTGTCGAATGCCAGGCGCATTCATCCCGGTATCACAAGCCGGGCAACGCGGCGTTTTGGGAAACGTCCTAGCAGGGTTGGTCTCTTCAGGAATCACACCGAAAGGAGGAGGTCTACCACTAGGTCGTGAAGCTGACGAAGATGAAGTGCCTGAATCCGCAGGTTGAGGAAACACTGGAATGTCCTTCAACTGCACAGCTTGGCCATGTTCTGGAGGGTAGACATTGGGCTCAGGTTCTTTCATCTCACGCACTAGCCAACCTGGTGCACCATCTGGATATTCCACCACAGCGTCTCCATCATCACGCGGTTCAAACACCTCTGCACTCGCACGCAGTCGAGCCGGGTCAGGGACAACTTGAGTCTCGTTCATCAATGGCACAAACAACTGATCACCAAGCTCAGGATTCCATGCAATAGGCGTAATGGCTCGCACGTTCCTAGCCGCGAAGCGTTTCAGCACCAACTCACCTTCGATTCGAAGCGCCCCTTGGACAATGATTCCACCTGAATCCAAATTCGGATGGACATAGCACGCCTCAACGCTACGCGTCTCATTGGGACTCTGAGCACGCAGTGACGTCGGAAGTTCCGCAAGCACAGTCTGTCCAAACATAGCCGGAACAGGCTTGGACAGCGTTCTTTGCACAGCAAACTCAAGAGGGGAAAACTCCAAACCATGAACCTTGGAGAAATGGTTATGCATGAGGCCTAGGTAGGTTAGAATGGGTTGCAAACCATGTTCATCCAAACGCACGTCTGCACCATGTTGGTTCATGTCAGCCCTGGTGACACTAAGTGATTCACGCAACCGTCTGACTGCCCTCTCTGCTCCTCCACCACTTTGATGTTGTTGTGGCCCAGATTTGCGAATCAAGAAGGTGTATTTTTCCGAGCTCGTCCCTACAAGATCGCCAACCTGCCGCTCACAGTCAGTGTGGAGCACAATCGAGGACGTACTGGACGCCAATCCAAAGTGATCAAGCCACTTGCACACTAGCGTTTTCACCTTCCTCAACTCATGTGTAACATGGACATAACCGACACAACCTGTTGCAAGTTCGGTAAGGACCAACACCTTCAAGCATCCTCCTGCTATGTCCTCGGTCACCATCTCACCTCTGGTCGTCACAAACCCAAAATCTGCCTGCACTTCGGTCTCCAACGTTCCTTCTTGGCGACGACGATGCTGGTAAGTTGCCTTGCCACGAGCACAAATAACGCAACGTGGGTCAAACGGAGTGTGACCTTGCAGCCGATGTTTCTCCAAGGAGGCTTCTGCAGCACGACTCAAAGGAAACAAATGGCCTTCACCTACCTCACACATGGTTTGAGATACTGACAACTCCGCTGTGCCTACACCTTCCGTCCACGCTGGGTGGAGTCTCACCCATGGACAACCCCCAAAATAGGTCACAGTTCCTAGCTGACGGCCTGACGTTTCATCTCGCACAACACAACCTGATGAGCTTTGCCTGAACTCCCAACCACACTCACAGAGCGTGGTCGTGCTCAAGATGTTATGGCTTATGCTTCCAACAAGACACTTCAAATTTGCCTTTTGCCAAGTTGGTTTCCAGTTTGTTCTGCCATTTCCTTCAAATTCAACCCAAACTGAAAGGCAAGTTTTCCCATCAATGTCTACTTTGCTGCCATTCGCCGCCTTGAAACGGTCATCTTGCAATCGTTGGATCACTGCGCCATAACTCTCCTGAGATGAAACGGCCATCACCGTTGCCGCTGCCCCTGAATCCAGCAACCACCAAAACTCTGAGTCGCACATCATTGACATTTCTGACAATAAAGGTTGGAACACTGGACTCAAGCAACTTGGAACCGTACCAAAAACGGAGCCCTCTTTTGACATGTCATGAGCTCGCGACCACTCAGCAGCACCTGCAGCACGCCGTCCCTTTACTTCCCTTACTCCCAGCTCCCTCCCGTCCCTTGGTAGCCCATGCACACCCGCAAGTCCTGGCAGACCTGAGCACTCCTCCTGCTCCTGCCCACACAGAACCTGCTCAGACAGGAACGGTTCAGGAACCGCGTCATGTATGGAAGTGGGGAACCCTTTGAGCATGGCCACATGTGCACTGCCATCTGAGCCTGCCGCGTTGGGAATATCATTTCCCTGACACATCAAACAGCTAGTCCTGCCTTCCTTCAAGTGGCGCACACACGTGGCACCACTGCTACAAGTGTCACAAGTGCAGAAGGAATGAAACGTGGCTTCAAAAGATTTGAAAAAACAAGGGAAAACAAGACTCTCTTGGTCACACATGGTTCCTTGAACTAGTTGCAAACTAAGGTCCTTGACGGGTCCTGACAGAGATCCCTTTGTGTCTTCAAGCAACGGGCTCAGGACAAGTGACTGAACAGCTTGTGACTGGTCTTCCGTTTCCGTTTCATACCATGATTCCTGCCAAGTCCAGTCCGTCCACGGGTCCGTCCACGCTTCATGAGAAGGGATTTCTTCTTCAGCCCAAACTTGAGACGTCTGAAACCACGTTGTGTCTGACCACCATGAACCGTCATCTTCATACCACAAGTCTACAACATCATGTTCGCATTCCAACTCGTTTAGTTTTCCTTTCTTTCCAAAACCCTTGCCTGTACCTTTGGCCTTTCCTTTTCCTTTCTGTTTTCCTTTTCCTTTCAAGACTCCCGCCTTGCCTTCATCGGCTTTCTTCCGATCCGGACAGTTGGCGGAAACATGGCCAAACTTTTGACAACGAAAACACTTAATCTTAGTGACATCTGTGGTGCACTCTGCAGTGACATGTTTACGGCTACCACAAACCGCACACCTAGAATCATCCTGCACTGCATCCAAATTCCACTGTCCATCTGAGTCACTGACTGTCAAATCAAAGCGAGCCGCGTTTCCGTCACTGGGTCGCAACACATTAAGCGGCTTCTTCGGTTGAAATTCCTCAAAGGTCCTCTGCTGTTGTTCCCACTTCAACGCAGTCCACCTAAAGGCCTGATATGACTCACCTGAAGCATGATGCACACAAAAGGTCCTAACCACTTCTGGCAAACTCCTCAACAACAGTGCAACCATGTCCGCTTCAGAAACAGCGAGTCCTGCCGAATCAATCGAAGTCGAAAGTGTCCTGAGAAGTTTGGAAAACCTGGCCAACTCGTAGTCAATCTTTCGAATCACATCTGTCACACGTGTCGCCGGGCTCGTTTCTGCATTAGAAAGGGTCACTGTCTTTCCTGCCAACGCTGAACGAAATGCCAGGGCCTCCGACCTTGTCCTAATTGAGTACTCTAGCGTCAGTTGCCTCGCCAGTTCAAACCCATTTGACGCTTGCTGCGAACTCATAGTCGTGGTTGAGGATCCAAGGTCAATACCCTCACTGAACGCATTAATCAACGTCATGGTACGAGGGTGTCCTTGAAAAGAGCTGCGGAGAATAGCCATGAGCCTCATGGATCGAGCCTTTTGCGGACCTGTCATTTGCATCCAACCCAAGCTCGTCGGCCACTTGCTCGCATGCTCAATCTCTGACCCAAATTCAAGCGACGCCTGCATGGCCCACGCTGTTAAATCGTTCAAATACGTAGCCCAACCAAGAATTTCCATCTCACGGTTAACCCAAGCCGAGGTATTTGGCATGGGAGGGTTTCCTAACCATTTTTCCGTTTTCGCAAACACATCAACTGGTGTCGAACCGCCTGCCAACAAGTTTTGCGCCGATAGCCCATTCCAACCGGAACCCATACTTGGCAGCTCAGGGATCGTGAAAGGAATCGCACCTGGAGAACTCGGTTCAAATTGGTGTCCAAACGTTTCAGGAACCCCACGCACGAGATGTGAACCATCCGTCAACACCTGCCTCAACATCATCACCTGAACAGGGTTCAAACCGTTCACCAACCGTACAACCTCCTGATACCTTTCCATTTGTGGTGTCATGCCTCCAACCTCAGCTCCATACCTGCAACCTCCGTCACAACCTTGCTGACCAATGTTTCCTGCCGTGTCACCCGCAAAACAGGCGCCGACGCTCTGCCAACCCTGTGGTTGTGCTTGTGCTTGATGCTGTTGCATCCCTGCTCCATTGTTCATCCCCGGATTGCTCAGTCCTCCCTGACCATAGCAGCCCAAACCAGGAGCCTCATTGCCTCGCATCATTGTTGTCCCTCCAGGAACACCATTAAAAGCCTCAGCACCACAAGCAGACGCCCCTACCTGCCCTGCTTGGCAACCTTGACAAAAAGAAACCTCTGGAGCAGTCCATCCAGTGCCTGAACACATACGCCCATTACCTACCTGTCTATCATACCATTGAGTCCCCACATAGTTTCGAGGGTCCATCAAACTTC